ACACAGACAGGTTTGCAGCAAAAAAAAAAGTAGAATTTTATTTAAGAAAATGGCACCAAACCCAGACACAGGTGAGCTAGTGCTCTTAAGACCTGGCTCCCCGATGGCATGTAGGTTACAGATTATATAGGGCAAAATCACAAGACGCTGTGGATTAGGGATTCGGGGTGGTGTTGGGAGCTGATTGGTTGGAGGAGAAGTAAAGGTATTGAATCATTTCTTCAGATCTTGAAGATAGTTCTGACGACTTTTCTGGAGTCCCTCTGTCTGGTCTCATGGGACAGTAGTAAGGGTGTAGTTTTACTTTAGGGCTCAGGAGCTGAAACATAACTTAGATCAAGATGTTATCTTTAGCCTGCCAGATGTCCCAAGGCTGTGACTATGGGTCAGGTCCAGATTACTGTCTTCTGCTGCCTTGGGGGTTGCTGATTACCCAGGGGAAAAGCTGGGCCTGTGAGGCTGGGTGGGGCAAGGAGGTGGAAGAGAGAGAAGGGATTTCTAGAGCTAGGATTTAAAAGTAAATTTAATCAAAGTCATAAAGACCCTCGGTTTCATGATTAAGGCAGAAGTAAAATTACAAGTCAAGTCTGTTTTTCAGGGAACAAGCAAAGAATGATTCCACTCAGTTAAAATTTTGTAATATGATTTGAAAGAATAGAACTCCAAGGGGTAAAGTAGGTAGTGGCAGATAAATACAGATGAAGGGGATCTTATTTTCCTGTCTGTAGGCAGCAAGAGGATGATGAAATAATAATTACTGACTAAATGAATCTATGTGTAGCACGATACCCCACCATTCATTAAACATTTACTGGAGTACCAACTACATGCTCGACCCAAAACAAGTCTTTGTCTTCAGGAAGATGACAGCAAAGTGAGGGAGAAAGGATTTGTTTTAAATTTGAATGCTGTCAGTGAAACAAATAGGTGTTGAGGTAGAAAATTATGGGGTGAGAGGATCGTTATAAACTAAGTGGTCAGGGAAGACTTCCCTGGGGAGTGACATTTAAGCTGACACCTGAAGAATGAGCTGAGCTCATCACAGGCAGAGATATGATCACATGTAGCCACATATTACCATGTGTTTGTGGAGTTCCTTATATATTCTAGATATGATCTCTTTGTTAGTTACATGTGTTGCAAAAATTTCTACACTATGACCGCTTTTCAAGCTTCTAAATGGTGTCTTTTGATGAATAGACCCTTCTGGTTCTAAACTGGTTCAAATTATTAGCTTTTTTTTTATCACAGGTGATTATTGCTTTTTGTGCAAATTTAATAAATTTTTCCTCCTCATGTTATAAAAGACATATTTATATTTATGTTACCTTCTAGGAGCTTCATTTTTTTCCCCTTTTACACCTAGATGTACTTCTTCCCTGAATGTATTTTGGAAATAGTGTGAGATGAAGTAAAATTTTCTTTCTTTCCCATGTGAACATCTGACTGGCCCAGCACTATTTAGTGAAAAGACTGTCATAAATCAAGTATCCATATATATGTGGGTCTATTTCTGGACTCTTTATTCTAGTTCATTGGACTATTTGTTTATCCTTGTACCAGTGCCATATTGTTATTTACTGTAGCTTTATAAGATTTTTATTATTTACTGTAGTTATATAAGCTTTATATAAGATTTGATATCTGATATAATAAATCCTCAAACTTTGTATTGTTTAAGATTGTCTTGACTATTCTTGGCTCATTGCATTTTAATATAGATTTTAGAACTAATGTGTCACTTTCCACATAAAAAACAGTCTGGATTTCGATTGGGACTATTTGAACATATAGATCAATTTGGAGTCTAATATTAACGTTCTTATCCTTGAAAAATGGTAAATCCCTCCATTTATTTAGGTGTTCTTTCATTTTTTCTTAATAATGTTTTGTAGTTTTTAAGTAAAAGATTTGTACATATTTATCAAGGTACTTAATATTTTTGATGCTAGCGAATATTATGTCATTAAAAATGTTAATTTTCTAACTATTGGTATGTAAAAATAAAAAATTTGTAAATTTGAACTTATATCAATTAACTGATTAATTTCAAGGGCATGTCAGTAGTGATAATGATAGTGTTATTTCATCCATTCTCAGTACTTGGTCTTTTTGTGTCTTTTTCTTTCTATATTGCACTGGCTAGGAACTCTAGTACAGTAGAATCGGGTGATAGTGGATAGCCTTAGTTCATTCCTTGTCTCAGAGGGTAATCTTTCAACATTTTACCTTAAAGTATGATGTTTGCTATAGGTTTCTACCGTTACCCTTCAATAGATTACAGATCTACTAATTTAAAGATGTGCTAAGGAGGTATTTTTTTGAAAAGAAATATTTGTTGATTTTCATCATTTTTTTTTCCTGCACTCATTGAGATGATCATATGGTTTTTCTTTTTTATTTTGATGATGTGGTAAATTATATTGGTTGATTTCAAGTATTAAACCAACCTTGCTGGAATAAGTTTTACTTGGTAGCCTTCTTATGTATTATTTCATTCAGTTTGCTGATATTTAGTATTTTTGCATGTTTGTGAGAAAGATTGTAATTTTCCTTTATTGTAATATAATTTTCAGTTTTGATGTTAAGGTTTTGTTAGCCTCATAAAATTATTTGTTTTATACTTTTCTCAAGCCTACGTTCTCCCAGCAGAGAGTCTCGCTTCCATCAGTTCCCATAAATATCTTTGCATTAAGCTTCATTGAGTTTCACTGGCCTGATTTTATTCACTGGCCATCCCTGAGCCAATAACCATGTCCACGCTCTGATTGGTTGAGTTGAAGTCAGTTACACATTAGCTACATGGACTGAGAATGGGAAGGGGTTTTCCTGAGAAAAATCAGAGTCCTATTACTTTAACAATGGGGAGTAGGTAGGTAGAAATTGCATATAGCCATTACATCATTTATGTTTTTCTTTTTCTGACATAAAGAAGTAAAAATTTTTACATAGCCAAATTTATAAATTAATTTTTATGTTTCTTCTATTGAAAACTCCCTATACATTCTTAATAAGATACTTTTAATCTAAATTTTATTTTTTATGTTTTCATGTTTTATATTTTCATGTTTTATATTTATCTATTTAATTTATTTTGCATTTGTTTTAGCTTAGGATATGAGGTGAGTATCTAACTTAACTTTTCCTCCAAAATACTGTATGATCTCTTAATTGACCTTCATTTATTTAACTTATTCCTTCAGTAAAACATAATATCTGACATTTAACATGGTACTAACTCTGTACCAAGCCCTGTGCTAAGCACTCTAACAGATATTAATATATCGATGTTTATAATGATTCTCAGATAAATACTATCATTATCTCCATATGTAAAGAAGTCTTGCTTGTTCAAGATCAAATGGCTAATAATAGGTAGCTTGGATCCGAACCCAAGCAGTAGGATTGCAGTAGCTGTTCTCAATCTCTGTGCTATACTGCCTCTCAAAACGATTGATGTTTGTAGCTAGTTGGCTTCTGTAGTACCCATGAATTTTTATTCCCACCAGTTGGCTTACCAAGAGTTAGTTGTTTGTTTCCAAATCTCTCTTTGATAATTAGATTTGTTATTGTATTACATACTTTAACTAAATAAAGATAAGCCAATGAAATACGTGTAAAAACAAAGCTGTTTCTAGTAAAAACTAAAGCCAAATAATAAAATTTTTTTGTTGTTGTTGAATTAGGTATGGGCGAGAACTGTGAAGACTGGCAAACAGACAAACAAAAAGTGAAAATTCTTGAATTTTTCTCACAGATAGTTTCTCGAGCATCTTTAAATGAAAGATTTGTACTAATAAAACAAATGCTGAAAATTATAGAGGATTCATTATGAATGTGGTTTAAACAAGAAAGACTGCAACAATGATCAGATTCATTCTCAAAGAAAAAGATATTTATAGATTAGTGAATATTTGTTTATAAGTTTTAACTTTAAATAAATAAATATTTAAGACATGTAACTTTTAAGTTGTTCTTTTGCTTTAAACCCCACCCCCAAATAACCAACACAGTACTAAACCCCATTCTCTTTGAAAGAAGGACTATTGTGGTTAGCTGATAGTTGTAGCATCATTTATTGAACTGACCTTCTTTCCTTTACTGATTATAAAGTCTACTTTTGTCATATGTACTGCATCATCTTTCCAGATGATCAATCCAGCTCCATCGCCCTATTTGTTAAGTTCTTGACTTAGTGTTTTAAAATCTGATACTTTTTTTTGTTCGACATTTTTTGGCTAGCTTCCTCATTAATTTTCCATATGTCTAATATTTCTGACATCTATCATAAATATATTCTTTTTTGGTATTTTTTAGCAATAACATATTTTAATTAAGGTACGTACTTTTTAAAGACATAATGCTATTGCACACTTAATAGACTATAGTATAGTGTAAATACAACTTTTATATGCAGTGGGAAACCAAAAAATTCATGTGACTCACTTTATTGGTATATTCGCTTTATTGTGGTAGCCTGAAACCAAATCCTCACTATCACCGAGGTATGCCTGTATGCTCTTCTTCAAAGTCTCATCATATAATCTGTATCACTTATTTAAGCAATTGAAATAAATCATAAATATACTCTTATTGAGAATTTTTTTTTACCAATTTCGAAGGTTCTAGTGAAGAAGGAATGCTAAGTTTATGATTACAACTTAAAAATGAGGCAAGATTAAGGAACTCAGATACAGAAACATTAAGTCATAGCAGACATAGTAGTAGTATATTGAGTTTTCTGTGCTCTCTGACAAGATTGCGTGAGTCAATAATGATACATGTAAGAAAATACTACAGATTAGAACACATGGTAAAAAACTGTCTAGGAGGGGGTAGTTCGTGGAGGTCAGGGCAAGGGCTGAACTTGTAGAGGCAAGGAGGTAATCTTCTCCCTCTCTAGGTCTAGCTCATCTTTATGAGAGGATCTTGCTAATTTTCTCACTAAACACCTGCTTCACCTGTTTGTTCCTCAGGGTATAGATGAAGGGGTTAAGCATTGGGGTCACCACAGTATTGAGCAAGGCCACCATCTTGTTTTTGTCCTCTCCCTGGCCACCCTTGCCAGACCGGATATACATGAGGATGCAGCTGCCATAGGAGAGAGATACTACAATGATGTGGGAGGAACAGGTTGAGAAGGCTTTCTGCCTCTCTTTGACTGAGGGGATGCGCAGGATGATGTGGAGGATGTGGCCATAGCAGGTGGCTGTCACAGACAGAGTGCCCAGTAAGCTGAAGTTGGCCACAATAAAACCCAGAAGTTCGATCAGACTCGTGTCTGCACATATGAGTTCCAGGAGTGGAAAGTTGTCACAGAAGAAATGATTAATGATATTGGGGCCACAGAATGGCTGCTGAAATATGATGAAAACTGGAATGATGATAAGAAGGAATCCTGCCATCCATGAACAAAGAACTAGCTGGACACAGACTCTTTTGCTCATGATGGTGACATAACGCAAGGGGTTACATATGGCCACATACCTGTCAAAGGACATCACTGCCAGTAGGAGGAACTCTGTGGTGCCCAGGAAGAAATAAAGAAAACTTTGTAGGAAACAGCCTGGGAGGGAGATAGTCTTGTATCCAGTCACAATGTTGGTCAGCATTTTGGGGAAGATGACTGAGGTGAACCAGATCTCTAGGACAGCAAAGTTGCGGAGGAAGTAGTACATGGGAGTGTGGAGGCGCCTGTCCATGAGGGTGATTACGATGATGAGGAGATTCCCCAGTAGAGTGAGGAGGTAGGTCAGGAGGAGCCCCAGGAAGATGAGCATCTGCAGTTCACAGGCATCCGAGAGCCCTAGCAGGACAAACTCAGTGATAGTTGTGTGATTTGCCATGGCTCCTCTGACCTCTGCTGAGATGGTCAATCAGAGGTGTGCGGCATCAGAAGTCATGATGTACTGGGGATCGAGGACACCTGGAACTGAAAGGAAAGAGGGGTGAGTGTCGCACTTTGAGCTGAAGGAGCCCTTTATTTCTGTGAAGGACGTATCTTCCCACCACTGACCACCCAGGCTTGTTTTGCAGTCTTCGTCTCATGTTTGGTTCCTGGTGTGGCTCTGTGTTAGAAGACTAAGTGGTGATCTGCAGTGTGACCTAAGGTCCCAAACTAAAAATTATCCTTGCTTACTCTTTTTCTTTTTGAAAACAATCTCAAAGAAATTTTATTTGCATCTCTATTGCATGTGAAATATCAATTTATAATATAGGTAACTTTGTTCTTGCTGAAAAACTTTTTTGGAAATATATTCTTAAAATTCACAGAGTTGAAATATTTGGTTGACCAAGTTTACACCCTAAGGTGGCTGAGTTTACTGGCATTTAAGTTGTCATTAAACTAAGCCAGGGAGTGGTAGTGTTCATAATAAGAGATAAAATTATTATAGGGAATTTTATAAATCACATATTTGAATACCTAATTCAAGGAATCTGAACACTCAGAACCATTTCATATGTTAATAAATCTGGAATGTTTTCTATATACAGAAATATATTTTAAGAAGGTCAGTGATCAAATTTATATTGAAAAAATACAATTCTGACCACAATGTAGAAAGAGAAAGGAGATCAATATGAGGTTATTTCTGTACTTCATTCAATGATAGTAATAACGGGAATGGAGAAGAATGGATGTGTTATCTAAAAACTTTTTCAATATAGAATTAAAAGATATTGAAAAATTGATGACATGAATAATGAAGGACAAAAATAAATAAAGAACAAAATTTTGCCTTCTTGCTTGGGCAACTGAGTTGTAAGTGGTTCTGTTTACTGATTTAGAAATAATAAAAGGAAGAACATATCTGAAAAGGAAAGGGACGTGGACAGGTGAAATAGTTCCTGGTATTGAGCTCCTAAAATGCCTAATTAATGAGAACAACAAAGGTGTCTTTTGTTATGTTAATGAGGGACCTTTTGGAAAACCCTTAGGTAATGTATGGGTGGGAGCTGATTGCCAAAAGAAACAATCATGTGATTCTTTCCTTACTTTTCTTAACCAAAGTTTTAATTAATTAATTTAAAAAGTTTTTAAACATTTTATTTTATTTTTATTTTATTTTTTATGGTGACATTAGTTAACAAAATGCAATAATTTTCAGCTGTACACTTTAAAAGTAAAGCATATATATATTTACGCTGTGTGTTCACCTCCCATAGTTAGACTTCTTTCTGTCACCACATATTTGACCCATTAACCAAACTTTTATTTCTGATTCCTCAATAAATTCCTTTGCCCTTAACATTTTAACTTGTTTTCAATACCTTTTGTTTTTATCTTTACTCCATTATTGGGTCTTCATCCATAAGTAGTTCATATTTGAGGGTGGTAGTCTTTTTTAAAATTAAATTTATTGGGGTGGCATTGGTTAATAAAATTATATAGGTCTCAAGTGTACAATTCAATAATATGTCATATGTATATTGCATTGTGTGTTCTCTACCCAAAGTTAAATTTCCTTCTGTCGCCATATATTTGACCCCCTTTACCCTTATCTACCTCCCCAGCTTTCCCTCTGGTAACCACTAATCTGTTGTCTGTGTCTATAAAGTTTTGTTTGTTTGTTTTGTTTGTTGTTTTCAGTTTTATATCCCACATACCCATTCACTACACAGATCCATGTCCCTGGGTAAACTGATTTAGGATATGTAGACATTCTTGCTGTTTCAAGATTACCTGAATCTTTAATGCCTTTCACTAGTATTTGGATTAATACAAAAGAAAGAGGAAATCTGTGAGAGAAAATCCCAACTCTCATGAATCAAAAAATAAAAAATTTAAGTAACATATGCCTAAATAAAAATCTCTTAGAGGGGGTTTCTGATTCAAGATTCTTAATGTTGTTCTCAAGTGATATATCCACGTTCTCCTCCATTACAACCTCCCATAGGCTCTAGATACAATATACTCTTGCAATTTTTTGATTCTTTATCCATTTTATGCACCTGTGCTTTTGCACATGGCATTCTTTCTGCTTGGAATCATTAGCCTTTCCAATCTTATTTATCTTTTAAGTCTCTCCTCAGTACATGGTATCTTTTCTATGGAGCCTTCTCTTCTGAATGAATGAGTCTCATTCATTATATCTCATTATATCTCATGATATCTTATAGTTTTTTTCATTTGTTGCTCACTGAGTCAATTGTTTTAAAATTAATTTTTGTATTTTATATAACACTTAGAACAAGTTTCTTGAAATAATCAGCTTTAATAAACATTTATTATGTGAGTGAATAACACCTCAAATGTGTGAGAGATAAATTGTGTGTTTGACACACAAACAGGAGGTTGAGGACATGTCACTATGCAATGTTTCCCAGGGGACAACAACCTTGCAGAGTCATATGCTAAGTAATCTTAAATTGGTCCATCTGAAGAGAGTTTGATTTTCCTCCTGAGAAGGTGATCTCACAAACATTCTTCAAAGGGAATGTCTCCATCTTTGAGATGGAAGGTATAGAGTTTGAGCTAGTAAATAGACTGGAGTCTCATTGAGTCTGTTAGAGTGCTCCCAGCAGCAAAACCCCAAAACCCTTAAAAAGACTTCTCTTTAAAAGCATCCCTGGAAGTTCCCTTCCTTAAGCAATATCAAATACTACCTTAATTATAAGGCAGAGCTGTAGCAAGAATTATTTGCCAGTCACTAGGGGATAAGATTGAGACCCAGTTTAGGTACTTGAGATGAAGGAGATGCTAGGAAATATTAGTAGGGAGGATGAAATAGTAAACTGTATAAACTTTCCTTTTTTATGGTTTTGTCTTCAAAAATGACTTCTTTTTCAAAGTCATTTCACAAACTACTATTATATCTAAAATTTGTTGACAGTTTAAAGAACACAAAGCAGTCAATCAGTCTCTGAGGATATAACGAGGACTATTCTCTACGGAAATCTCAATGTTGTCCAGATTCATCAGCAATTTGAAAAAGAAGTCTCTGCAGCTTAATCATTTGGTTCAAAGGAGAGCCCAGGTAGCCAAGAAACTTACCCAGTTCTTTCTAGGACAGAAGCAGGATTCGGCATGAATGTCATACACAGAAACAGCATCAGAAGCTAATAGAATGAGTATTATTTAGGTGAAGTCCTAAGTAGGATACATTAACAGGAAGATGGGACTAGAGACCAAGATGAAGAGTTGAATGTGAGTGGGAGGGGAGGAGAAAGCTCTGGGTTCATAATGAATCATGAGCTTAGCACAGATAAACTAAGAAAAGGCGTTGTGACCAGCCAAGGATATAGCACACAGACAGGGCTGCTGATAAACTTTTTCTTTTTTCTTTTTTTTAAAATTTTTCTAATTAAAACCAGAGATCAATAGCTGGGAAGGGAGTTGCTTCCAGATACAAAGGGAAATAAGCCACTTCATGAATTCTAAGCAATTCCCCCTTTATCCAACATGCTTGATGAGTGAAAGGGGAAACTTGCTTGGCAATCTGAGAGCCTGGACATGGCTGCACCATCCACTTAGACTATTTATTGTTTAAAGGTCAGTCATGTAGTGCCCAGTGGGAAAGTCTCTAAGGGTGCCCTGGAGGTTTGCCCTGTCTTTCGGGCAGTTTTTATACACTTAGAAGGAAGGTGAGAGCTTCTGATGCAAAGTTGTCCAGAGTTCCCGAATTTTCTAAAGGGACAGTTACACAGAGCACAAGGCGGGACAGGCAAAGTTCCCCAACGTGAGCGAATAACTTAATGGTTCTGATTCAATAAACTTTGACTTGGCTAGCATTGACTTGGATGGTGAGATAAAGTTACAAAGGAGACCCAGTGTGTGTGCTCGGTGTGCTTCATCTTATAAAGGAATATTAAAAAAAATAAGTGCCAGAAAGAGGAGGATTTGAGGAAGCCACTGCTGCTGTGCCATCCTCTGCAGTGCCAAGGTAGAGATTACCCCACTGGTCCCAGGTCAGGTGTCTAGTAGCTGTCTGGAGAAGTCCCAGTCAGGTCATTTCAAATATGCTACTCACAAGATTGAGGAAGATATCTGGTTCTCATGGACATTTCTTGAAGTTGCAATGTTGTCTACGGGCTCAAATTGCAGACTTTAAACTGTTGGTGTGAGATCTCCATCTCTTATACATTTGACAGCATTCTCTAAGAACACCTATCCTTTTCCAAAGCATCCTGAATGGCCAGCTGCATTCCTGGGAAGAAGAATGGTTTTCTTGGACTTTGTTATCATTCAGTTTACAGGATCTGATGAGTTCGGAATGTTTTGAAACCTTCTTTTTCAGCAAGCTCATCTTGGAACACCTTGGAGGAGTATAGTTATCATTTGGTGCAATCCTCTTTCATCCTCCTCTTGGACTAATGGGGGTGATTTTGACAATAAAGACTTTTATTACATCCTCACATTGGCCCAGTCTCTGTGAGATGACATTTCTTCTGTGGAGAATGGCGCTCTAGGAGACAGTGCATGAACTACTCCTGGAATAAATACATCTCTTTGTGGAGGTGACATAAGGGATGAAAGGTTTGGGTTGCAGCTTTGTTTTCTTAAGGGATCTATTCTTCTCTCAAGTTTGATGGGGTTTGAGATCCCCAGAGAAATCGTATAATGAGTCTCACTCAGTCTCTTCCCAACTCTCTAGGCTGTTACTTACTACGACTTTGCAAACAAAAGTTTCTGTTGTTTGTTCAGGTCAAGGGTAACAGTTATTTTTAGTTTAAGTAATAAATCTAATTATGCCTCTGAAGTAGGAGGCTCCTGTTTAATATTAAGCAACAGGGATGTAAGGAACCATCACAATATAGAATCTTGGCTAATCTTATCCTGACCCTACCTCACTGGGGTTGGTAGATGGTAGAAGATGGGGTCCTGGGAGGAAGGGACAAAAAGAAA